CTGCATGGACACATGCATAGGCTTACTAGTACACATGCCTGCTCACACCCTCATGCATGCATGCGCGCACATACACACACACACACACACACACACACACACACACCAGAAAGAAAAACAGAAACTCCTGTTTTTGTAATTGTCATTGGTTCACATCTCTACCATAGAGAATGGTACAGGGAAACAGTGAACATCAGCAATGTACGGTTATTGCATACAATCAAGAACATGTCTGCAAAGAATTGCTACATTACAAAGATAATTCTGTACACATTATTCCTAGAGATAAATACAGTAACTCTGTAGTCTTCTTTTTCTGTACTGTACTTTATATATCTGTAAGCACTTCAAGGGCATGCAGACAAAACTGATGATTGCTTTCCACTTTTCTGCTCAACATATAAATCTGTTTTGATAATACCAAAGTGGATTCTTACATGCAGGGTTCAACCAAGGGCTTTTCAGTGATAGTGGTAATTGATGATATAAACTTGTATTAAAATTGATTTGTTGTTCTCATGCAACCATGTGATCCAAATGAACCAATCACAGAAGGAGGAGTCTTGTAGTACAGTATCCTAGAAATGATTGCATGAGATTTATAGAAAGAACCGGCCCGAAAGAACATGTGTTCCATGCTTTCTTAATGATTTTTAAGGAAAAAGCAGGATCTCCTGAGACATTTTATATTGTATAGACAGAAGGCATTTTTTGCTGTTTCTCATTTATTATTTAGAACTGTTTTGGAGATTTCTCAGTGGATGATATTTTGGAACATCATTTCTGGATCATAGAAAACTTTCCATCAATTATCATGGAAAATGGAAGACATTTAAAATGTGAAACACAGGAATAGGACAGGCGGTCATCAAAGTTAGTGTGGAGCCTTGTTAAGTAGTGTACATTTCACAGTTACTGCCGATGAAGTATGTGGATATCTCAGTACTTGTAGCAAATATATACTCTTGATTTTCACATCCTCTCAATTTTTATCCTTGAAATACTTGCATATGGGAGGAATACTACATGTAGTTACTAGGCAATTGTTTTCCAGGAACTTTTTCTAGGGAACGTGGATTACACGTAGGACAATTTATCTTAAGGAATGGAGACAGCTATTATTGACATGCATGTACTTTACCAGAAAGTCGTGTTTCTAGTCAGATTGGACTTGCCTAACATAGTGCAACCTGTGTAAGAGTTCTCACTTATTGAAGCTGAACCAGTGCATAACAGACCTTACTGGTTGAAAAGATTGTTTTACGCATGGGGTATGGAAAAGTGTGCTCAAATTAGGACCACTGAGGGTTCCAATTTGGGCTCCTCTGGTGATCTTGAAATTTGATGACTGTCAGTTAAAATGTTTGCTGTTAGCATTTTCACAGTTGTGAACTGGTCTTTTTATTAATCCTGATCATGGTACACAGCTGAGAAATTCCTTTAGAAATATTCTATACTTTTATATATAGGTACTATGCTCAGTCTTTGTTTGAGAAATGCCATTTTCCTATTGATCAGGTCAAGCTTTTGTGGATATTAAAAAGTAATTACTTGGAAGAAGTGGAGGTCTGGTTCTAAACATCTTTGGAGAGGAGATAGATCATTGTCCTCAGAGTGTGTGAAACCATTGCCATCAGAAAATGAAACCATTAGGGTGTTTGAAACCATCCAAGAGAAAATAGTCTTGCTTGCATTGGAATTGAGACAGCCACCTTTTAATTTTTGAAGTATTGAGTGTCCTGAATATTTGAAGTATTGAGTGTCTAGAATATTTCCAGCCCATAGGTGAGGTTGGGTGTTGTGGCTCATTTTTTGGGGGGTGGGGTGGGGGGAGGGTCAAAGGACCTTTTTAGCCAGAAACGGCCTGCTCTGAAACAAAATTTGAACCTAAGGTTTTACGTATGCCTGTATGTCATTTCTTTAGTTGGGTCAACTAAGAGGGTCAAAAGTGTCGTCTTTTTCAGAATAATTAAGAACTCCCTTTTAAAATTGCTGGCCATAGGCCTGCTGATGGTAATCAGTTAGTCTGCAGATCATCTGTTCTGAATACGCTTCTTAGGCCTTTAATTTGTTAGCTTGTCTTTCTGTAGTGAGCAACATAATGGTTATGAGGCAGCTAGCTTTAGGCTGGATTCCCATACCTAGATCAATCTAACAGGATCGATCCATCTCCAAGGGGTTTCTCACTAAATTGCTTTTAACTTCGGCGGCTTAGATGTCTGGCACGCCTGCTGAAGCTGCTAAACGATAATTAATTACCCCCTTGCAGCTTCAGTAGGAGTGATAGACAACTAAGCTGCTTAAGTTGATTGCAATAGTGAGAATCCTCTTGGAGATAGATCGATCTACAGTTAGTAAGATAGGGTCTGGGAATGGTCCCTTAGAGATGGGTGGTAATGAGTCAAGTCGATAAAAATGACTTGAAACACCAGTTTAGTTGCTTGTTCTAATGGAAAGGTAGGAATCATTAACACTGATGTCCTGTTTTTTTATGGAACTTGGAGCTCGCTGGGTGTGCATGAAGATGTACAGTGTGACATGACACTTCATTTGTCAACTAAATGAATTTCGTTAAATGTCAACTGGTCTGTGTTCCTTATAAAACTAAAATAGGAATCTAGAAGTTGTTATTTGATTGCCTGAAGTTGGGTAGGAAACGTTCTTGGCATTGCTAAGGTCAGTAGAACCCGAGGGAATCAGCCAAGTTATAAGGATAGTTTTATTTTCATTCCACATGAAAATGGTTCACATGTACTTTGTAACAGTACATTACAGTTAGGATATATTCATTTTATTCATTGATTTTAGATTATTCACAATATTCACATATCTTTAGAGTACAACTGCTGTTTGTGTGGGAAGAACTAAGTTTTTCACTTTTATGCTTTTTTTTTTTACCAGTATCTCAAAATGGATATGTGAATATTTGTGCATGCTGATGTTGTTTTCCCATTTCAGGACTCATGACTGAGACAAATGTAAAAGTGAGAGAATACTGAAATGAAATACAGATTTTTCTGCTCAAAAAAATTCCTAAAAAATGACGTTAGATATTTACATGGGTGTAATAATGAAGACATGTAAAAAATGGGAACTTTTCATAGGACAGGGAAGGCTTTAAGTGTTATATACTGCTAGACCAAAGAAGATCCAGTTATTTATAATGTATCAGAAGATATATGATCCAATGATAAGCCCAGTTTTCCATTAGGGGCTCTTATGAGAGGAGATCATATTTGAATAGATCATAGAATATTCAGAAGAAAAGTAGAGAAAGATATGAAAAAATTGTGACGCATCCACTCCAAGAATTAACATTATTTGGGAGTATTTTCACAGGATACAGTTCTAATATAAAATATTCAAAGGAAAAATACTGGAGAAGGATATGAAAAAGATACTTATGCAACCAGACCAAAAAACATGGCAAAAATAATTGTCAGTGGAAGACGACACATAAAACTGAAGGACAGTTGCAGCAGACGTAGAGTACTGACTGCCGTCTGCTTTCTGTTTGGTCTGTTTTGGTGTGGGCTAGCATGCTCCATGATCTTACTATATGGGGGCTACCTGGATCACATGTTTGAGGCTGGCAAGAACCCTACAGGTAACTAATTTTCAAGTGGAATATAATTTTTGCGGTGAAAAAAAAAAAGAAAAAAGAAAAATATGAATGTGCACAGTATTTGTTCGAAATATTTGATTCTGTGTTTGATGCTAACAAACACAGCACATTTTTCGTTGTATGGGTGTGTGTACAGGAATGGGGGATGGGGGGTGGAAATGGGTTTTTTTGGATGCTTTTTACTTTAAATTTCCACTTTAGAACCTCCTATAAACTTGTTATAAACACTTTTTAATTATTTCAGAATTCTTACACTTGTGTATAAACTATAAAGGTATAATAATAATAATAATAATAACAATAATAACAATAATAATAATAATAATAATAATAATAATAATAATAATAATATACAGATAATTCTTTATAACCACAATTACAGTGATTATAACCTGATAGAAATTATGATAGCTCTTAACACAATGATGTATTATCAGGCAATACTGTCATCTAAATTAATGAGTTATTAATGAGAACATTAGGTTATCATGATAATTCAATCTCTAAATGGGTCTGCACAGTTTTCCAGCATTTTATGTGTATTGTACCATGCCATAGCATTTATATGAACAATAAAAAAGAGAAAAAATCCATTTGACAAAAATTATAGGACTGCTTGCAGTGCATGTTGAGTTTTCCCTTCACTAGTTCTTATTGTAAATCTTGACGTTAATTTGGAATCAGAAAGTGTACAACAATCCAACTTTCACATACATGATATACAGAAGCAATTCCCCACAGGCACCAAGAAGAACATGTTTAGTTCTTCTATAGAGTTTCACTGTTGCAGAGCTGGTATTACTACCTGTTCCCTGTGGAGATGTTACATCAGTTTGCTTAATATATGATTGCCAACTTCCCAAGTGGGTTGCCATGTTTATGAGATTCTTATTTTCATTATAAACCATCAAATTGGTGCTTCCTATGGAATAAGCACTTCTTGATATATACATTAATGTCAGATGGCCCAGTTAAAAGTGTTTTAAGATTTTGAGTGGGTCTTTGTAAAATGATTGAGATATATAGGACCTACCTGTAGAAGTACATCATTGAACTTTTTTCTTGACAAAGGTTCTCAAGTGCAGATGTTTTTCTCTTTTATTTAAAATGAATTTTTTATTTAGGATTTAATACCTTTTTTTTTTACAAAATGTAAGATGGTATGCTACTTAATTAATTCTCAACTGTTGGGTGTAAATAACAGAGAGAGAGAGAGAGAGAGAGAGAGAGAGAGAGATTGATCAAGCAAACATTTGCTTTGTTTTGAGATGCTTACTCAATAAATTTAATCTCCAAATGTAATACATAACGAAAATGATTTGATAATATAATCAAGATTTATGAATCCATTTACAGTTCATTCTTTTATTTCCAGATATGCCATTTGTTCCCAAGCCACCACCCCCACAAGGTAAGGCTATTATTTTAATTTAATTTTAACATTCTTAGCTCACTGTTGTATGACAATTTTAGTCAAATGGCTAAAATCATCCTATTTGGCTAAAAGAAAATCAATAAGAGAGAGAGAGAGAGAGAGAGAGAGAGAGAGAGAGAGAGAGAAAGGGTCCTTTCTTTGATTTTCCTATCACGCCACAATACTTTACAAAAATCATGTAAAACCACTCTCCTCATCTCGCTTCTACCTTCATACGCACATTCCTTACAAAAAGCACGGAAAAAACCATAGCATTGACATGATGAAACCGTAATGACAGTTTAAGTGTTGATCTGCATGGGACCTCTCATTGTGGTGGATTTAGATTATTCTAAATGAGAAAATATGTCGTTTTGATTGACGTCAAGACAGTAATGGCTGTAGGTAATTGATCTGTGAGTTCCAGGACTTTTTTGTGTCCGGGCCACAGATAGGGAATGATTGTAATGTTATGATAAAAGAAATATTATGGACTTTTATGAGCTCTGGGTGAATGATGACAATTTGATATTTTTTTATTGGATGTTGTTTTCATTCTAGAAATGCCAGTGGATAAGGTTTTCAGTTGGTTTTATCCTGTAAACATTTATGAGATGGTTGCATGTTTTTGCATTAGAGTAATGCTGCGTAACTCTTGGGACTGTCACAGCAATCCTTTTTTCCAATACCATTTTTGGTTGAGAACTTGAGCTGAAAGTTTGTCTTAAATTGAAGACCTTCAATTTTTGATCTGCTTTGACCAGGTACCCTGGGTAGGAATAGGGTGCTTTCCCAGAGATTTAGATCGATATAAAGATAAAGTTTTAGATCGACCTAACTCCCTGGGGGTTCACGCTAAATTGCAGTCAGCCGAGCGGGCACCATAGTTAATTACCCCCTTACAGCTTTTAGTAGGCGGGATAGACGCTTAAGCCAGTCAAGCTGACAGTAATCTAGTGAGACTCCCCACAGGGATAGATCGATCTAAAAATCTATGGAAATGGGGTGATAGAGAAGTAGTAATCAAAAAGATTGTCCAAAGCATTATTTCTGTTTTTTTTTTTACTTTAACTTTTGTGAACAGGCCCAGTATTTTTATATTTGAAAATGAACTACCATACGGTCAGTTTATCCATGATTAAATTAATCCATTGTGTGAACAGACTCATATTAAGACATCTTCTTCAAGTTAGTCCAGTGTGTGAACAGACCCAAAGACATCTTCTGTAAGTAAGTTAGTCCAGTGTGTGAACATAGTCAAAGATATCTTCTGTAAGTAAGCTAGTCCAGTGTGTGAACAGACCCAAAGACATCTTCTGTAAGTAAGTTAGTCCAGTGTGTGAACAAACCCAAAGACATCTCCTGTAAGTAAATTAGCCCAGTGTGTGAACAGACCCAAAGACATCTTCTGTAAGTTAGTCCAGTGTTTGAACAGACCCAAAGACATATCTTTTGTAAGTTAGTCCAGTGTGTGAACAGACCTAAAGACATGTCATGTTTGATTCAATTCCCCAGAACCTTGTCACGGATCCCTGGCCCCTTCTAATGAATAATATCCTGGATTTCTATGAAATGACAATCAGCTGAATGACACGGTTTGTCCTGGGTTCCTTAATGTGACTGAGATGTAATTGATTTGAAAAGTTCAAGCTAGGCAGCATATACAAGACTTTAAAAACTCTGACCATTCAAAACCATCTGATTGCAGTAAAAGTCATTCACACAGTGCCGAATTAGACTTGGAGATCACAAAAATGCATCTGTTTCACTTTATTAGACAGTTACAACAAAATATACCAGAAATCTTGAGCATCGTTTAATTCTTTCTTTCTTTTAATTTTTGTTTATGTACACCCCTTATTTCTCTGATAATCAGATAATCAAGTGATTTTTTTTTTTTGCTAGTCACTATTATATGCATTGTTTACAACTGCCGTGTCAATACTAATATAGTGTTGTCAAATTCAAAAAATATTTTTCTTCCTTTCTTTTCTTTCTTTCTAATTTATTTATTAAAAAACTTTTTTTTTTTGGGGGGGGGGGGGAAAGATGTTGAACACTTAGCACAAATAAAATGTGCTTGTATTGACTAGAAGTACAGTGACCATCTCAGGTCATAGAGTCAAATAAAATGCCGTATACAATGCCAAGGGAGAAAGATGGTTTTATTTTCCTTATTAGAATTGATCACCTAGATAACAAATGGGCAAGACAAAAGGTCACAACAGTAACTTTAACGTGCTCCTTAACAAGTGTTCAGCACATGTCTGTCCACCTGTTGAGATGTTCATTTATTAACTTAAAAGCAAGTTTTTTTTTCTTCTCCAAGATCCCTAGTGATCTGACACATTCTCTCTGCTCATTTGCCATAATTAGTTTGGCTACCACCAACACATGCTAAGTAAATTGAATATGCAAGGCAGGGGAGGATCCAGAGATATTTTCTGACAGTCTTCTAAATTAGCTTTGTTGATCCATCCTACATTTTTGACCATTTTCCAACAGAAAAAATAGATACCTGTCAAGCATGGCTGGGGTGGGGTGGGGGGGGGGGAGCATGAGGGGGTGGATCATGGTTTGGGGGGAGGGGTCTGGAGCATGGCTGGAGTGGAGATAGGAGGGGTGTTAGCATGGCTGAGGGGGTGTTGGATCATGGCTGAGGGGGTCTAGAGCATAATGGGGTTGGGGGTTTCTTGAGCATGACAGGGGGGAGGGTGGAGAGGGAGACACATTATAACATGTGGGAATTTGCAGCAGCAGTTTGTGACACAGTTTTATTTGTGTAGTTATATGTACATTTTTATCTAAAGCCTGCATCTTTTTTGTCTTTGTTTTTACTAGTTTTTTTATTTTATCAGGGTAAATCTCTTGTTTTTATTTAACCAGTCGTGGATATTTTTTTATGTGTCACCTTTTTCCATATGGTGCTTTCCCAAAAGTAGAAAAAAAAAACTACCTGTGAAATGAGTTAGATGGCTGCTATTTTGACTGTGATCTTCTCAGTATTTTGTGGCATTACAGATAAAACCTGGCGCTGACAAATGAATCATTCCCGTGATTTACACTGATTGACGATAATGAGTGTAGATAACGGGAATTTTTCTCTAAATTACGTCCCTTTGTGGATGATTAGTTTACAATTCGCTTTCATTTGCCACCCAAGCATTCATGGGGGAGCAAGCCACAAGGTGATTGATTCAGCTTAATCAAATCTAAAATGGTTACCAAAGAAATGACACTATATGCCATTATATTTTGTCATTTCTCATCAGTGTGCTGCTCTTTGTGTTAGGTCGAATGAATCCTTAAGCACTTTCAAACAAAAGGAGGGTGCGGTTGATTAGTACAAAACATTTTATTTATTAAAACTGATGAAGATGGTTGATGCTGCTTATCAAGAGATGTACTGCATGCACACACTGCTGATTTAACCCATCTCGTGTGTGTCCAAACCTCTCCATTTTTCCATTACTTTAATTGTTTTTCTTGATTAATTTCTTGTTTTGTGATGGAAAGGCGTGCCATTCAACATACATTATTTGAGCTGAATTAGGTGTTGTGTTTTCATAGGGGATGTTGGCAAAATGGCTTCCATTAAGACAGAATAAGCCTGATTACGTGCATGGCTTCTGTTTTCCATTTGAAAAGGAAAAAAAAAGATTATGATTGTTTTTTTTTCCAAAATAACCTAGAAACCTCTCATTGCACAGTTTGAAGTGAGTAGAATGAATATTTCTAGATTAAAGTAGTGAAGCAACACATTTTTCACAGCCGCTCTTATCCATTGGTAATAATTATGTTATAAAACTGTCCAAAAATGGTCTAAGTTACTTGACTGTAGAAAGATAAAGAATGCAGAATATTTTTAATTGAATGTTAAACAATTAAGGTTGATGCTAGTTGCTTGTAGAACTTTTTCAAAATATATTTGAAGTGCAGTTGATATGAGTTTCTGAAGCAATCATTATCAGGAAGAAAAACAAAACATAGGCAAAACCAACATTTGTATACAGTCTGAATCTTGATGAATAAGTTATAAAGTTACCCCACATTTTTTCATTTGGGAAACAGCTTAAAAGCAATATGTCACTCTAAGTGCGCATAAAGAGCATTTGTGAGAATCGCGCAGAAAATGTTGGCCTTTCTGTAATACATATTTCCAACTGAGAGTAATATCTTAAATTACTGAAAGAGCATGTCTGGCCTGATAACTGACATAACAGCCTAATAGCTTAGAGATACTAGCAAAAGGTTTACAAATGGAAACAGCCGATCTGTCATGTTCTGGTGCTAAATTACTAAATATAGATATTTTGCACATTTTATATAAAGGTTGCTGAAATGAACTAATATTTTAATAGAATTAAAGAATGTGGATGAGGATAGCTTTTAGAAGTACTTCTCAGTTCAGCAATTTTGTCAAGATTTTTCAGTGTTAAGATTTGGGGGGAAAATATCACATTTGAACTGAACAAAAAAAGAAAATCTTATCAAGTTTAATTTGTGAATATTGACTTATAAAAAGGCAAATTGTCATGTGGGTTTACAGGTGTAGTTGGGGTATTTTTCTCAATCTTTTGTGGTAATTTTACTAAAAAGAAAAGGTAATAAAAATAAAAAAGAAAAACAACAACAAAAACAACAAGATATATTTCAAAAATAATTTAGATGCCCTGAAAAAGAAAACTGAACTTAACCCTTGTTTTTAGTAGTGTCAACCTTTCCAAACTGTCACCTGTCATTTCCTTGACCACCTCACACATACACCTGACTGTGCTATACCCCTGACCACTTCACACCCCTGACTGTGCTATACCCTTGACCAGTTCACACCCCTGTGTCATACCTTGACTGTGCTATATCCCTGACCACACTACACCCTTTTGTCACGTCCATGACTGTCATATCCCTCACCACGTCATACCCTTGACTCATGTCTCTGACTGTGTCACACCCCTAACTGTGTCACGTTGGTGACTTTGTCACACCTCTGACAACTACAAGACCTTGACTGTGTCACACCCCTGACTGTGTCACACCCCTGACTGTGTCACGTTGGTGACTGTGTCACACCCCTGACAACTACATGACCTTGACTGTGTCACACCCCTGACTGTGTCACACCCCTGACTGTGTCATGTCCCTAACTGGGCTATGCCCCTGACCGCTTCACATCCCAGTGTCACATCCCTCACATCCCTCAACGTGTCATACCCGTGACTGTGTCACATCTCACATCCCTGACCGCGCTACACCTCTGACCGCACTATACCCCAGAACATGCCAAGGTGCCCCTGTTATTATTCCCAAAGGAATACAACACAATAATCTTTCTCATTAGATGTGCTGAATATAGAAAGCACAGAGAGGAAAGAAAAAAATGGCTCTCCTGCTGATGGAATTGATCCAAAGCATCAAGCTTATGGAGATGTAATTGCAACCACAGAAGTATGGAATGTATGCTGTGCTGATCCAATTCACCTCATTGTGTGAAATTAGTGACATTATGGTGAGAGAGAGAGAGAGAGAGAAGGTCCATTCACACTGCTAATTTTGACTGTGGTTAAGGCCTGATCGCTGTCCTATCGGGTCTAAACTTTTCTAGTGGACTATGTACCCTGACTGCTGTCCAAATAAACCAGATCGGAGCTACAGTTCTATCGAAGTGAACTTTGTGTGCAGTAGTCAGATTTCGCAGGAACTTCTGACAGTACTGATACTGATTTTATCAGACATGGCACATCATATTCAATAATATTTCTTCTCCTTGCCACGCATATTTGCAGAAATTGTAATTTTTTCTCATGGAAGTATTTCTTGGTAAAATAAATATTTTGTGCAGCATAAGAGTCATTGTTGCCAACTCTAGCCATGTTCTTCTTATTACTTTTTAATGAGAACAATAATACACATGCTAAGCAGGAAATATGATTGGTGAAAGGCTATCACTGCTAGTATCAGTGTGAACACAAAGAAAGTGGGTTTGTTTGACCATGATTCTTTCGGGGTTAACTTGCTAGTATGAATGGCCCGAGAGAGAGAGAGAGAGAGAGAGAGAGAGAGAAATTTTTAGATTAGTTCCTATTTTTGGATAGATGCCAGAGAATTTTAAAACCAACTTTTATAATAGTAGTAATTTTTCATGATGATCTGAACATTATAGCTAAAAAAATATGTAAAAATGTTATTATCACATACACATTGCAGAGCCCTGCGAGAAACTCTACTGTGCTTTTGGAGCACAGTGTTTAGTCAATGCCACAACAAACGAGCCATATTGTAAATGCATCGAGCATTGTTCCTCTGTGCATGCGCCAGTATGCGGCAGCGATGGTGTCACGTACTCGAGTGAATGTCAGATGCGCCGACTGAGCTGTGTCACGCAGAGGAGGATTGTACAGAAACTACGAGGTGCTTGTGTTAATGGTAAGGTTCTTATTTTATTTTTAACATTTAAGATAAAATTTGTTTTCGTTATATTTAATCAATAATTTTCAGATTTAAATTGATAAAGACAGGATAATTATGAAATATCAGTTTAAGTTTGTTGTATTCTGTATACCTGTGGTTCTCATGATAAGAAAGGGTTTGTTATGCATATTTTTTTTAGAAATTACAATATTTTAAATAACACCATATGTATTTAAAGCATTTTGCTTTTGTAATTATTGCAGAAAGTGAAGTTGGTAAGTGTCTATTACAGACTACAGCACATTCATTGCACATGTTTAAACATTCTCACCCATGTGACAAATGTAGATAGATAAATCTATAAGATCAACTGATAAAAAATATAAAAATATAAAAAAAAGGATATTTTTCTTTTTTATATTAGTTGATCTTATAGATACCAATTACACTCAATTTATTATAATTACCAAACTGTTGGCACTTTTCATCAGTAAATTGTGTTTGTTTTGAAGTCCCCTATTAGAGATGGATCTCTTTTATACTTCTTACATATCGAGGGGGCTTGGTTGATGCTTGTTTTTGGTCCTGTTTTAGAAGGAGATTACTAATTATGCATAATTTCATGTGTAAAGTTTCCCATTTTTTGGTTTAAAAAAGTTCTTGATAGCTGAAGGAAACTACCAAAACAAACTATGTGAATGTTGAGTATTGGAGCCTGTTCAGAACCAAGTTGATCTGCGGGCTAACTATGCCACAGATCAAATATGGAGCAACCCACTTGAAAGCATGCAGAGATTTAATTGCTCTGTCCCTGCAGGGATGGCATGCGTGAGAGGCAGGAAATCCATTGTCAAGTATATGCCATATTTGATCCGATGATCAGTTAGTCAGCAGATCAACTTGGTTCTGAACAGACCCTTGAAGTGAAAATACTGATTGCACCAGGTTGAGATTGCTTCTCAACTACCACACTGCTTGTAACACATTGCTCATTTTATGTTTGACTTGCAATTGATTTCTTACCACACTCATATGATGCAGACCAATTTGTGTTTTTATAATTCCTCGCACATACAGATGTAGATTGAATATTTGCCTATTATCTAATGATTGTGCATTTCTGCCTTGGTGAATTTATTGACAGTCCAACCCACCAAATATAGCCTCTTCTTTCATTTCTGAATGAGGTGAATGAGGTACCGTACACTGTCAGGCATTGACTAAAAAATGTTTCGAGATTTTCTGGGAAAATCAGAATTTCATCTTATTTTTTCCCATTCTCTGCTGTCCCTGAGATTCAAAGGTTACTTGTACATCAATTACACATGTTACTGGCACTGGCATTGGAGGTTATAGTATGTATGGAACTCGGGGTGAAACCCCAAACATGATAATCATCAAGGTACTAGTTGAACTTGCCATAAGCTAATATAGGCAAGTTTCCTGATCAAATTATTCTGACCTAAATTTCAATCATGGATATCATTCTGCAGATAAAGAGTTCAGTTCATGTGAATGATATCAATGATTCAGTCCACTTCATACTATATGTATCAATATCACTGTATCTTTGATAATCTGAACTGAAAGTTAGTCATATATAGAAGTAACAGCCTTCGAGAGCCCTATGGGGCTTCCTGTCACGCAGAGTTCCACCATTCCAAAGTAGGTGCTGGGAAAAAAGTGATTTTTTTGTCAACAGAGTGATAGAAAGGAGTGAACCTTAGAAAAATGTCTTGTCAAGCAGATTGTGAAGATGCAAAGGATGTATTAGATGAGCTTCAGAAAAATAGATTATATCTTCTGTTCATTGAGAGACAATGTGCGGAGCATGTCAAAGTTCTGAAAGACAATGAAGTCAAAATTTCTCAACAGCAGGATGAAATGAGAAATACTATTGATGCTCATTGTGAGAGGGTTATAAATATTATCAGACAGCACCAAGCAAAATTACACAGCAAAGTTAACACAGTAGCTGATGAAGATATGCGTCAAGTGAAAACCAAGATGGCTGAATTGTCGTTGTTTCAGAATCAGATTGAGGGCTCCTTGGCTTTGGCCAGCAGCGTGTCACATTCCAGATCAAAAGCTGAAGTGAAAAGAGTTGCCCAACAAATCTATGACCAGAACAAACTTTTGAAAGAAAAAGATGCATTGAAACATCATCCAGTTTCTCCAAGGTCTTTCAAGTTTATTCCAAATGACAAATTCATTAAAGGGGTCACTGATGACATGACATCTCCATTGGGAATTTTAGAATTAGGGTTAACAGGAAAAGAAAGTCCTGAGTCAACTGTCCAACTGCCTGTGACGCCATCTATTGAGAGTGACACTCCTTGCAGTGTCACACCTAGCACAATCACACCTAACACATTACCGTGTAATCCAACACATTCCTGCCATCAGCAACCTGCCACTACAGTTAGCCAGGGTGACAAAGCACAACCAAATGTGGGACCAGGAAAACAGGAAATGTGCACTATCAGACCTAAAGCCACCATAGTCCAAGAATTTAATGCTCGGTCAAAGTCAGATGCCAATGATCCTTGGATTGCAGGTGTAGCTATTGCCAAGGACTCCACCATGCTTGTGACGGACTTCAACAACCACAAAATCAAAGTTTTCAAGAAGAGTGGCAATCTTATTTATGAATGGTCAGGGGATGGTGGACACCATCTTGACCACCCTTGGGATATATCCTGTGGTCAAGATGGCAACATTGCTGTGGCCAGCACCGGAAATGATAGCCTTTTTATATTAGATTCCACATTCCAAGTGAAAAAATCCCTTGTAGCGCCAAAGTGCCGAGGTGTTGTATGGCTCAGTCAGAATGAGTTAGCCTTTGTGGGGGATTCCACCAAAGCAGTCACGTTGGTCAACATAAATGGGGCCAAGCTAAAAACCATCGCCATTGACAGTCAAGGAAATCAGCTTTTTGACCACCCATGGTTTCTCACCAAAACTCGCAAGAATGTGATTGTAGTTTCCGATAATGGAAAATACTGCATGTGTGGTTTGACACTAGAGGGTGATGTTGTGTTTCGATATGGTCGCAAAGGGTCTGGTGAGGGTGAAGAAATGAGCGAACCAAGGGGCGTCTGTGTTGATAAGTTAGGGAACATTATGGTTGCCGATTGGGTGACACATCGTGTTCACTTGGTGTCACCTGATGGGAAGTTTATACGTGACCTGGTTACCAAGGACGACGGGTTGCAGTATCCTAGAGGTATTGAAGTTGATAGCGATGGCCACCTGGTTGTGACAGAGTGCAAGGGAAAAATACAGATTTTTAAGTACAGAGACTAAAGTCGTATTTACACCCAGTATATATTTTCAGAAGAGAAACATTGGTGAAAACAATATTTTCTTGGTTTGTTTTGACATGCCTGTTTCATTTGTCAACAAAAAATCAAATAAAAGATCTTTTCATAAATTTTTCAAAGTTATTCATGTGATACATGGATGGAATGCTGCTCTTATTCAGTATCCTGTGTTGATGATGGTTGCTCTTGACTAGTGTTTTTTAAAGGTCTTAGCTTTCCAATTGGATAATGGTTGTGTATTAAAATCTTGTAAAAAAAATCATCTGAATAGATGTTTCCTGTGGCACATGTCTATGTAAAACAATGAGGTGCAACCAAGTGCAGTCTAAGGATTTCAATTTTGACAGTGAAAAATGTAATGCAGTCTTGATATTTAGAACTTGTCAAATGAGATACATGTTGTCTTTTAATTGAATTCAATAGATGAATCTGTTGTATTTTTACAGAAACTGCTTGAAAAAATGTCAGTTGGATTGGCAGCAAGATGTAAATGTTAAGGTTATTATAATGATAGTATTTCAATCATGGAACAAATACAGATTGATCTGATTGAATTAAGCCATCCTTCCATATCACTGTCTGGTATTGAGTTAAAAGGTCTTTTCGTTATTTGAAGCTATAGTAAATGATAAATGCTGCTTTTAAAATGTCACTTAGAAAGGCTGATGAAATTATTCTAGGAATGTAACAAGATCACTGATAGGTCAAATGAAACTGCACTCCGGACAGTGCTTAGCTGCCATTTTCTCATTTATTTGTCTTGATTGCTTGAAACAGAATGTTTTTTCAGAGTACAATATATTGTGTTGACTCAATCTTTTCAATGAGCAAAAATTATCAAACTTTCAGGTATATTATTTTATATTCACAAAAATTATATTTCTATTTTGGGAGCTTTTACTGCATTAAGTAGAACTATAAAGCAGCTGCTTTTTAAGTTTGTAGCTATCACTCAATAGGAATGTTCTAATTTCAAGAAATTAAAACTTAATAATAATAATGATTTTTATTGAGCACAGAAATGTTTTTACATTTAAAGGCTTTCTAACTACTATGTAGTATATATATATATATATATATATATAGCAATAGTAATGATAATAAATAAATGAAATAATAAATATAGCATTATACAATATGCGTTATAACAAGATACATGTAAAAAAGATCGAGTAATTACCATTATTTATGAAAAGTACACCAAGTTTCTTTTGCTGGATGCTGGTCGCCATCTATTGTGGACATGCATATATTCCTGCCAATTCCATCTCCTCTAAACTTTGAAACTCAGGGGAAGGAAATGTGTCATCACCATTGATTGGTTAGGTCCTAATCCAATGAAATGATGAGATATATTTAATTTATTTCAACATGAGAGATTAAATGCACATGTTATGCATAAATTAGTATCTGTGTGGGCAAATAAGAGCCATTGATTTTACAAGTTATGCCATTTTAGTTTAAAGTAAATGCTTGATGAAAAAATTATACCATGGCACAGTGGCATTATCATTATCCTTAAAAAATAACATTACGATCTTGCTCATTGAATTCTACTCAGGAGTAAGAAATGCTTGCTTAGGTACAGTAGATGTTCTTTATGATAAAATTGGCTGTCAGTGGAAAAGAAGTGTTAATGTATTGATCCTTGTTCTTAAATGGAAGCCGTCATGAAGATTTTGCCTGATTAGGTAAATCCACTTCATTTCAGAGAGAAGTGACGCCAATATAATACTCTTCCCAAAACAACACATGTATTTTGTTACATTTTGGCATCATGTTAGGTCAGTAAAGGGAGGTATTTGATAGTAAATTAAAGTTTGTGAAAGGTTACTTCTCACAAGACTTTTGAAGGCATATGTCCTTTTTTATGAAGTACAAATATGAACTATGTAAAACTGTATGCTGCTATGGGTTAATTTTAGGATCATTTCTCAGGAGTTTTCCCACTCTGTAACCCCCCTTTGTCTTACAAACTCGAAACTAATAGCAATTTATCTCGATTATTATTTGCGATTTATTTATCTGAATTTGTATTTTTATGTCTTAATTTCTGCATATTTTGCAAAACCACTTGCCTTTTCCAAGTCGGACCTTAAGAACACTAAAATAAACTCAAATAAAAGAATTTGATGCTGATATTTTTCTGCACTGAACAAGAAGACATGATGTTCTAAATGACTGGCCCATTCATTTGAGACAAAATCATCCGAATTTGCAGGAACAGGTTTGCGTAATGATTTGTGAGGATGAAAAATTGCTTTTTTCCCCCAAGGAAATTTAATTTTGGTGGGTAAATCTCATATGTAGTACCTTAAACTGTTTTTAAGTATGTAAAAACTAAATTTAAGTGGGAAATAAGTTTTATTGAGCTATGTAATCTGTTATAGAGGGGGGGATACTGTGGAATTACAGGTTCATATGATAAGTGCCATACTACCAAGAAATCCATTTCTGCACAAAATAATGGGCCATTGCAATAATCCTATTACTACTGTGAATTCATTTTCCAAATTGTTTATCAAGGATTGCTCAACAGAATGCCACATGAATCATTATTATATGTGAATTGTTCATTTTAATCATTTATTAATTGCATCTTAATGTCATAACTATTATGGCTCATTTATATTATCATTGACAATCAAATTGAATGGCAGCATTTCATGCTTATATTCATCATCATATTTTCATGTATTTAGGTGACATTTTGCTGTTGACAAATCAATCTGAATATTTTGTAAAATTATAAAGATGTTCAGTATGATGAACAGATTTATTTCTGAGGCATTAATTCATTAATAAATATATAACAAAAATTATGAAAACTAAAAGGTTTCATGAATGTGTAATTAATTTAAACAATCCCATTTTGGCCAAATTGTTGCAGAGGGATAAGATCTTGAGTAATATAACTTGTACATAATTACATGTATGTCAGTGATTCTGTATAAACATGCACCTTAAAGCCCATAACATGTTTAAGCGATCTCATTGTTACACTTCTTCTTTACAAAAAAATTCAATCTGATTATACGCAGGCACCACATACATCTGTGCACATTCTGATATAAAGATAGTGGCATTACCTTTAACATTCTTTTGATAAAGGGAGTATATAACTGTAGGGTCTCGGTATAAAGACATTGGCATTCACAGTCTAGTTGGCTTTGAATTGCCCCTACGTTCTTGAAAAGAGGGCAGCTGAGTTGAATTCAGGTGTCAAACTTGTGGCATGGTCTAGTTTGGTTTACTCGAGAGCTGAGATCATTGACTTTCAGTGTTCTCTATGTTGAAAGAAGGATCTTCATCAATGGCTGATATACAGATATTATGAATTGGTGGTGTAATTTCTTATTTCGGAGAAGTTTCTCTCATTTCAAAGGTCAGATAATGGCACCAATCAATGTTGACATTTACCTGCACAGTTATGAGACTCCTTAGAAGTTAAAATATGACTGGGTTCCCATGCCTAGATCGATCCAGTGGCATCCGTCTAACTCCTTGGGGAGTATCACTAAATTGCTGTCAACTAATAGGCTTAAATGTCTGTCACGCCTACCAAATCAGCTAGGGGGTAAAGATAATTACCCCTAACAGTTTCAGTAGGCGTGACAGATATTTAAGCTGGTTAAGCTGATAGCAATTTAGTGAGACTCCCCAGGGAGATAGATTAATCCAAATGTCTGTGGGAATGATTCCTAATAGAGGCCATTAAGAAACAGAAGATCCAAGGATCTTCTGATCCTTGGATCAAATATGGCAGACCCTACATGAAAGAAGAGCCGACTAATCCACTGACAGTCTTCCTGCCTCCACACGGGATCTAGCAATTAAACCTCAGAGCCATGGTTTAAGCCATTTAAAGGCGTGTATGTAGGTGGATAGACCATCAGCAGATTGATCGGCTCTTCTTTCACGTAGGGTCTGCTATATTTGATTTGTGGATTAGCAGATCCTTGGATCTTCTGTCTGGAATGGCCTCAAAATGTTTATAATGATTGTGTCCCACTCTTAATAGTATTTCGAATGTTTCTGAGGTCTAATATATTGATGGGCATCATGGGAGTTCTTTGTGTAGTGCCACAACCATGTAATCTACTTGTGAAAAGTGCTAGGGAAGAGAGAGGAACAATTATAATGCATTATTAAAGGCAATAGACACAGGAACCCCCATACCATTATTATGCCATTTCAATTTTCTCAACATTGTCACTAACTGTTAAAGACCTGTTCACACGTGATGTGGTTTGGTTGGTTTTGAATCTTAAAAATGTGATTTATTAAAAAAATTTAAAGAATTTATATAACTGCTTTGTGAAGTGCTGTACTCAGAATGGTGGCCTTTGGAGGAAAGTGTGAGGTCAGAGAAAATTTACTTGATTACTATCAGCACCTTCAAAACTGAACCCTTATATAATTTAGACAAATTTAAAAGCAAATATCCACCATTTACTGATGTGAATATGCCCCTATTTTGATGAGTTATTTATCTTAAATTCTCTATCTTTTTTTCCCGCACACTGGTAATTGCACACAGAAGTGGATATTGTCACTGAAATGCTATTCCTGTGACCACTTTGCTGGTTTGATTACAATTAGAACGGTTGACATATTTCAGACTTAACCAGATTCGGTCCAGTCAAGACCAGTGTGAACTGAACTGTAATTGCTTCTTCTCTATTCACGGTTACAGTTTCAGCTGAGCTGTTTCAAAGTGAATGTTTTTGCATGAGTACCATTCCCTATAGAGATTTCATCCATTTTTAATCATTATGGTGATGCTGTTGATGCCGCAGCTCTACTTTCAGGTTTGTCTTAATTGTCCTTCACTTTGTGAATGGTCTGCTAATCCTGCAGAAACTGCCAGACTCGCCCAGTATAGCTTTGGGGTATGTGTATAAGATATTTAATCTTCCAAATTTTTTTTGAAAATCTTCACTTGTGCAAAAGAAATTTGACTCAGCAAATGTCAGTGCCATCGGAGCAGACACATTTTTATTTGACTCTTCGCTCTTCAGAGGAAGGGATGTCAGTGTAATTGTAAACTTACATGACTGGTTGGTGTCTCCTGGGGCCTAGGAGACTTCAGGTGTTAAATATTACTTTTGTTTTTTGAATCATTGACCTCAAGGAAGGAGTGCTGCTGGAGAACGTTAAATCTACCAATGAAATTCCTGAAAAAACCTCCTCTGATCGAGCGCACAGCTTGTCGAGAAAATGCATATTTTTCACAATTTGTGCTTTTTCTCAAGGAATCACAATCACTGATCCAGATTCGAAACAGAGAGAATCCAGGTTTTGTTGTCTGAGAATTTTTTTTCTTAAATTCTACCTCAACACGAAGGAAGCATTCTCTTTTAAAATGCAGATAACACTAAAGAGAACTCACTCGTAGTAGATCTGAATTTAGTTTCCTGGAATTTTAGGAGCATTACTTTTTTGGGGAGTTGCGCAACTTGCCTCCTCTTCAAGTTACGTATCCCAGGAGCAATAAGGATTGAACTTTCAGGTTTTTCTGGATTGCTCTTGATCCACATAAAAGATTCATCGCAATTTCTTCATTATTTGGCTGTGCTGGTGGCTCATTTCCCATAATCCTTCGGGATTTGCCAGGAATTTTTGTGAGACAAGGAGACCTGCAAATCTCACGCAATGGGGACTTGAATGAATCAATTAATTTACCTAGGATTATCACCAGGAATCATTGGAAAATGCAGGAGATCTGACTGATAATTTTTCTGGAAAGATCTATCCAAGAAGAAACGTCTGCTTGCTGCCCTTCCTGGAGAAATACAATGTAGATGCCAAACATCAGAATAGATTAAGGATACATTTATTCATATGCCTCTCTCAAAATCTTTAACAACTTTTCATCATTTATATATGTATCGTCTGATCTATTGAATACAGATATTGCACTTACCAAGTATATTATGAAGAGGAATTTGGTAGAAATTGAATAAAGGACTAATTATGAGCAACACATATTAGTCCAAGTTTTAAAAACCTTATTCTTGGTTTTTCATTAATTACTGAAAGTCCCTTAAATTACTTTCAATTACTAAAAGTCACTGAATGAGGAGATAATATTTGACAGGTAATTTTGCATGGAAGGCAGACACATACATAATAAATTTAGAACACAAATGCACCTACCACCAGTCTCTCCAATATTTCTTAATCTGATTACCTCACGGGAAGTTTTCCGATAGTTAATTGTATTTAATTGGGCTCTGGGACATGACTTCATTGACCAAAAGGACGAGAAGCAAAAATTCCGATCAGCCGAGGTTAAGTGACGTTGTTACCGTGTTGATTAATTCCGAGAAGCGTATGGGGGATTGTTGAGCCACCTGAGGGCTTCTCGCTATCCTGACAGTGATCTGAATTACATTAACTTCTTCCGAGTGTCAGTCACCACTTATAAAGTTGGCTGGTGAAAGTCTATTGATTATCATTCACTTCACAATGAACAATGAAGTTTCATTCGGACACATTTTCTGATCTGGTCATTCAGTGTTGGTCCGTACACATATTGCATAAATATGGACCTCTCCTACTGTCATTAGTTGCAGTCTCACAGTGCTGTTATCTTTACGAAGGTATCGAGGATCCGTGTAAAAATGTGACGTGCCCCTTCAAGGGAGTGTGCGTGCCTGCAGAAGGGGGAATGGAATACCAATGTCAGTGTCCGAGCGTGTGCTACAGTTATGGCGACAGCTTACAGGATCGTGAAGTATGCGGCTCAGATGGGAGAGACTATAAAAATGAATGTGAGATGAACGCCAAGGCATGCAGGAACCAGAGTGACCTCAGGGTGCTATATTATGGAAAATGCAGTAAGTTTTACTATTTGTTTTGTAATGGGGATTTCTTTTCCAGATTTCAAGTTTGTTTTTGAGTTAATTGATGAGAAATATTGACCACAATGATTTTCTTATCAAGAGTGTATTTTATTCAAGATTTAGTTGCACTTGGATGGGATGGAACCAGGAACTTAAATTTATTGATTTATTTGATTCATCAATGCAGCTCTTTTATTTTAGAGTATATACTCTATATAGGTATCTTAGACTATATCAAAATGATTCATTTAGCTAATTAGATACAAGCATATGGAAATTTTAAACTGTCACGATAATCATAATATTTTATTGGATACAACTACTGTGCCTGTAGATTGGACAAACATCATGGTTAAGTCAAATGTCTGTCATCAGTCAGTGGGCAAATCTACAGTCCAACAGAGATAAATCAACCGTTTCAGCAGACCATGAGATAAGGATGCATGATGATAGTGATCTAACCCTTCTTTTTTCCTGCTCACTGAGATTGTTATTGAATTAAATCAAGAGCTATGCTCTTGGGCCTGTTTATTGAAAGGACAGAAATTTGGTTGAAACTTTTACCAGTAGACCATAATTTTAGCATAAAACTTTGACACAGAGATTGATCTAAATATTATAATTTAAATTATTACTGAAAAGTATTTCACTTATATGAAATGTTGCACCCACTTAATAACAAGAAAGTAATTGCTAATTTTTTTTAGATGCGAAATAGTTGCGATACAGTAGATTTATCATGAATTGAAACAGAACAAAATTTTGATCCAAAGTTCTGATATGAAACAGCCCCAGTTGTGGGGACCATTCCAAAAAGTAATCGTATGGGTTACTTATTACCAACTTCAGTAGCTAAAGTTTGAGTATTAAATCTTTACACAAAATAAAGGAGGTAATTTTCGAGACAAAGTTGAGTGGAAATGAAATTTTGTTGAGGTGAAGTGAAGACAGTTGTTTCCGCAATTTTTGTGTCAAGTTTTGTGACAGGCACTTTATCTGACTTAAACCATGATTGGAGCAGAAAACAAAATGGCTGGCCACATACTCTATACTGTGTGCTCGCGCATTGATCTGTGTTGTGACAAATAAAAAAAAAACATGTTATGGTATGTTTTCTGCTTGATCAGTTGCTTAATGGAGTGTAATTTTACTGTAGATTAATATAATGTTACATCGTCACACTGGAAATTGGTCCACCCTTTTTCCTGTAAATTACTGCATCCTTGGAAATGTGATTGATTCTGATGTTTCAATTAGTTGAATGTTATGCTTAATTGTTATTGAAGTTACCGGCAATTATTATGTCATTATTACATCTATGATCTGTGTTGTGACAAATAAAAAAAAAACATGTTATGGTATGTTTTCTGCTTGATCAGTTGCTTAATGGAGCGTAATTTTACTGTAGATTAATATAATGTTACATCGTCACACTGGAAATTGGTCCACCCTTTTTCCTGTAAATTACTGCATCCTTGGAAATGTGATTGATTCTGATGTCTCAATTAGTTGAATGTTATGCTTGATTATTATTGAAGTTACCGGCAATTATTATGTCATTATTATATGAGACTTGATTGAAATATATTGTACACACCATGATATGGGGTTGTGTTTAGTCATATTAAATTATGGAATTTAGTTTCATGATCAGGGTTTTATAAATAGTGAAATAGGCATTTGTAACTGTGCTTGTATGTGTGTTTGTTTTAGTGTGTATGTGTGTGTGTGCGTGTGTGTGCACATATGTATGGGCCCATGTGCACATGCATGTGCACGTCCTAAATTCTCATGCACATGTATGTGCTTTTGCTTGTACATGCATATGTCAGTATGTTTGTAATCATGTTGGCCTGAATTTTTTATTCATTTGAATACATTATGTTTTGTCTGACTGCGCTATCTCACATGGTATGTGTAATTTTTTATTAGTTACACATATGGCATATAGTAAAAACAAAATATCTCAATTGTAGCAAAAAATAGTGAATGCTATACATTATTGTGTGAAAATGGATGATGGAAAAATGTAGTGATGGTTTTTTAATCCAAAATTTTTAATGAGCCAACAGCGATTTGATTGCAATTCCTATCCTTCCTACTGCCCCAGTTGTGATTTCACCCATTCGTCATTAAGTCATTGTGCTGAACTTTGATCCCTGAACTTTTGGATTACTTCAAATTTATAATAGAAAAGTTGAAGTTTGCAATTTAGCATCTCTTCTCTTAGTGATTAACGATTCAGAAACATTTTTCTTAAATCTAATTGGAACACTGTTCATTGCTGTTTCTGTATGGCATAGGTGTTTGTGTGTGTAACCTCCCTATATGCTCAACATACACATATTCAAGGTATACAGAGAAAGCAAAATCAATTGAAATTGAGTTTCTTTACATTCAAGTAGTATTATTATATTGTTTAATGCAATTTGCTGGCTGCTCCCTGTCTTGGAAACTATGCTGTTTTGGCACTGCAGAACAATTGTGTCTGCCTTCCATTGCCAATTGAATTATATCAGATTTGAGTGTTGGCCTTGAGATTCATTGATCTAGCTCAGGTCAAACCAATATTTTATTCATTAATAAATTAACTCAAATAAGGAAAAAGGAACCCTATCAGTTATACATCTGTGTGCATGTATTCTCAAAGCCTTTGACACAACTTATTAAATACTATTTTTAATCTTCCATGATGACCACTTCTTCAATGTCTGTATGTCTAGGAGGCCATTCAGAACAGAAGATCCGAGGATCTACTGATCCACGGATCAAATATGGCAGACCCTACATGAAAGAAGAGCTGACTGATTCGCTTATGGTCTCCACACCTCCACATGTACCATCCTTGTGGGGGCCTAGCAATTAAACCTTGAAGCCAAAATTTAATCTGTGTGGAGGTGGGAAGACCATGAAAGGATAAGATGGTCTTGCTTTCATGTAGGGTCAGCCATATTTGATCCGTAGACCAGTAGATCCGAGGATCATTTGTTCTGAATGTGACCAATGTGTCTAGTTCTCAAGTCTGTATGCCAGAAACAGGTGTTCTCAGTTACAATTAATTGGCAAAAGGGATCCATCAACTGTTTTCCATTTTTTATGTACAGACATTGATTTGCTGTGATATTGGCTATCACTGTGAGATGGTTAGAGTATGTTATATGATCCTGTTAATAATAATTTGAAGAACTTGCACAACAGTTTTGGTTTAAAATAATTATACTGTTTATGGAAAACTACATGGATATAAATTTGTAGCACATGCAGTTTTGATATTGAAAATATGGTCAATGTCTGTACATACCTGTATAATATAGCTTTTGCTGTCTTATTATACAATGTTGAAATAAAGTAACAAACTGCCTTATTAATAAGCACCACTCTATATAATAATGGTACCCTCAATATAAAAGAGGGCAGCTAAAAGAAATTAAAAAAAAAAAAAAACTTACACCCCAATTAGAATATGTTGAAGTACAGTTTTTTTATTGTATCTTGTAGGATGGTAATAAAAAAGCAAATAATCTCTTAAGAAACTAAACATGTTTTTTTAAACCTATTTTTATCACTGATTATAATGTTTTTTTTTCCTTTTGTGCATGTACCCATGTCATTTTTTCCAGTCTGATGCATACATTTACCACCGGATGTAGACATCATCCATTACTTTTTTTCCTTATCTGATAAATGCTTCCCATTCAATTTCTGTGCCAGTTGAATGTGATTTGATTACAAGGATACTGTGTCCTTCCTGTCTCTTCTACAGTGTATTTAGAAATGTTATGAATGTAGACATGAATTTCATCTCAAGTTTGGCCAGCTTCAAAATAATAAAACTATTAACTTGAAAAATATTATAGTAGAAAAATAGATTTGAATTTTGATTTTAAATTTTTAAAGACATTGGTAAAATTATAAGATGAGAATGGCTTTACGGTGCCTTACGGGTCTTACATAAAGACATGAGACCAGAACATTGCATGAATGAATGGAGGAAATGTAAGGAACAATTTAAGGAATAACCTCATGGTAAAAGAGCAATAAGAAAACCAACCACGTCATTTTTCAAATATGAACCCTGTGTTAATGCAATCATAAATACAGGATTAAAATCAAAAAGGTTAAGATCATTTAAAGGATTTTTTTCTTCTTTTAGTAGTCCAAATCTTTTTGAAATGTTTTCCTTTTTCCAGATCCATTATTACCATAAGATGATTATCTTGAGAAAAAAATTAATAAAGGGAACTAGTTTCTCTTGTGAAATTAGTCTTTGGATATTAAGGCAAAATTGTAAAGTTTACAGCTAGTAGATGGATGATTTTTGTACAAAGAAGAATATTGGAAGAAAAAGGAAGGCAATAGAACTATGGATCATGATCCTCCATATACCACAGCTGTAGAATTGTTGCTAACCACTAATCTAATGAAACAGCAGAAGAAGTTGCCTTTTTTTGTAATGTTACTCTTTTATTTTAGGCATATGGGAATTGTAAGTGAGGAAGATTGACGATTTTCAAGCATTTTTAGATCTGAATGGGCAATTTAGTTCTTGCAATGCATCTGTACCATGTTTTCTCAGGTCACCAAGGTACTAATTTTTGTCTCACACACACACACACACACACACACACACACACACACACACACACACTATGGTAATGATTTTGGGGTGCTTTTACTACACCGAATAGAATTATAGACTATAGCCTGCTTTTTAATGTTGTTGCCACCAGTCAATAAAATTGTTCAAATTTTAAGAAATTATGACCTAAAAATACAGTATCTGTAAAATTCACTATTTTGCCCTCATTGAAAAGATTGATTTATTACCATAATACAGCTTTCAATATTAAACAAACCCTTTTGGGAGATGGAGAGCAAGAACCACCTTTTTTGCCAATGGAGATCCATTCTGAATCCAAATCTGATCTAGGTTCTATATGACATTCTTTCAAGTCACCAAGGCACTCATTTTCACACAGACACGTGTGCGCGCACACATGTACACACATCCATAGACGGAAAAGTAATAATAAGTGCAGTTTTTAATAAACAAACCCCTTAGGAGATGGAGGGCAAGAACCACCTTTTTGCCAGAGAAGAATTAAAATTTAAGTTAAAGTTGTTTCAGTGAAGGGAAGGAAAGTCCAATTTTTCTGAAAAAGAAGCTTCTTCCCCTTCTTTGAAATTGCTGGTTGTAGGCCAGTTAGATTATCTGCGTATCTGTGTTGAGTTGTGTGTGTGTGTGTGTGTGTGGGGGGGGGGGGGGGGTATGTGTGCACTGTATGTACACATGCATATGTATGTGTGTGAATGTTATGGTTACCTATTTTGAAAGCATAACTAGTTAAAGGCAGGCAGTAAACTTCACTAATTCTAGACTATCTGGAATATCCCCAAATTGATTGAAACGATATGGCTGGGACAGAACCTTCAGCTTGAGCAGTTTACCTTGTAATTTTTCACCAGCCTATGCCCTTGGCAATTATGTCAAGTGAGCAGTAATTAACCAAGGCTAATTGTTGTAATCATGGGGCTAGATCAAGCTGCCCTAAATATACATATTAAAATCCATGATTTTTGTGATTTTGCGGTATTAACCCCAACAGCACGTCTCTGTACACCATACTCCCACACAGTGATGGTGATAAGAAGTGTAAGCTGTCTAGATCGCTTATGGTTTAAGCCATCTTTAGTCACCTTAGCTGGCAGTTGTACTTGCATAATCAACTTTCCTGAGTGCCTAAGGTGTCGATGTACTACTAGAGTGGTGTTTATATAATGTTCACCAATATGTATGCACATTCTGAGAAGAGTTTTGTTGCATTGGCAAACCTGGCTATGAAGTCTTAAAAATGCAGTGTTGGTATCCCAATGTTATTTTATTTAATTTTTGAACAAATTGAATTTGACCTGCATGGAGTACTGAAAACAATTGTTTCATTGGTTATAATCTCTTATGCAGTTATTTTGCTAACCCTAAATGTAAAATGTAATTTATTTCCCAGACAATTTTTGTAGTTATTTTCATAGATAAGACATTTTCTTTCAGTGACCTGAAAAATGTTTTTATTTATCATTTTTTCTTAGTTTGTAATTAATGACAATTCCATTTTGAAGTAATTTTGAATTGTGTTTAAGCGAAAGCAGTCATGGAATATATAAAACACCTTTTTATAATCTTCTTTTTATGTTGGTGAATAGCAC